ATCTTAGATTATGAATAACGAAAAATGATTTTACCAAAGATCAATAACTGATGATTCAAGCTGCGGACATCTGCATATGTAAACATAGAATATGCTTAAAATATGCTGTAGAAATAATATACATGCCGTGGAATAAAAATTAAATCACACATTCCAAACGTAGCTTACGACAAACGTACCCGTAAACACAAGTTAATGATTAATACAATAAAGTGCTTCTTGTCGCTGTTGAGTAACATCTTTGCTGTTATATCTAGACATAAAACTGCTACGTCGGATTCCAAAGAGTATCTTGCTGCATTTTCTTTTTAATCTCAATGACGAGTGACACCATGTTTGATGGGATTTGTGCTCTGTAGAAAATAGTATGTGTGTGCGTGCGCATGTATGTATAATTGCACATATATATTTGTATTTATATATGTACAGAATTTTGAGAATTTATCCGAAAGATTATGTTAACAAAAGTAGTTAGGCGTTTTGCGTTTATATAAATGATATGCAGTGCAAGCATAATGCGATAAATGGTCTGGGTCGTAACTTCTGTAACATTATATATACGTCTGCATATAATATGCTTGTATTGATACGGGAATTCTAATTGTGGTCTTAACAAGCGGTGTTTAACTCAACGGAATATTTGTTCCATGTAAAAGTACTAATGTCAATAATTACGCGTACACTAAATGAAGGAACCTAAATGTCTGTTCCAATCTTTGTAAATATATGTATACGCTGTAACATATTTATGACTTGTATGTAAAATAATTTTTTCGAGAGATATAATCTCTTTGAAAAAGAGAGCTGCGATATTTAATGTGCGATTATAATTGTATTTTGTGATGCATCACACTGATTTGTCGTATTGCAAAATTTATGTAAAATATTTCTACGATTACAGTCAATTATAAGATTTTACGAATTTTTCGAATACGACCGAGATAATAGCTTGTATCACGAAAGCGTGCTCGCAAATGGGGATCTATCATGTACATATATTATGCTCGCTGATCTGTGGGATGAGAGAGATACATACACGTAACGAAATATCAAATAAAATATATTGTAAACCGCATATATATTTATCGATAGAGAGAGCGTACACAGTTCTACGGACAACGAGGCAGAGAGACTCCAGGCTATATATTGAGACGTACATATAATTATTGTCAATGCAATTTCTTTATTACAATATAATATATACAAGATTATACCGTTGATTTTATTATTTCATTAGTTGATGTACAAAAAACAGGCAAGGTCATGAAAACAAGTGGACTCTTTGTCTTCTTCTCGCCTGGCATAAATCGTTGAAATATTAATATTGTGACAAAACTTAATGTGTGATTACTTTGTTTATGTATATGTATATAAGTAGATATATATAGAGTATATATTATACAGGATGTCCGATAAAGACCATAACAACGCTTAAGGGTAGGCTACTCCTGAAATTATTTTAATACCAAAATGTCGAGGCTATAATAAATTTTAAATTATAAGCATTTAAAGTTATCGAATCACACATCGTCTAAAGTTTGCGCATTCAGATGTAATACAACGAAAAATCCAACCGCACCTAAGCGCATAAACTTTATGCGCGGTATGATTTGTCCAAATGCTTACAATTAAAAAATTATTATAGCCTTGATATCTTAATATTAGAATTTTCGTCTTCAAATGATCTCAGGAAATTAACTCTTAAGTGTTATTAAGAATCTTAATCAGACACCCTGTATATAAATTATACAATATATTATACATAAAATAGGTATACTGTTTATGTACATATATATAAACAATCATGAAAAGCTCTAACTGGATAATTTCATTATATTTTCAATTAAATGTATAAATATACAATATGATTTCATGTATCACATTTTTATAAGTTAATTAACTAAAGTAACTAATAAAATTTTCAAAAATATTACAAATCCTATTCTGTTTTGCAATTCAATAAAGATCGAAGCAGTCGATTGTGAAACAAGTAGACTTGTAATACTAGAAAATAATTAATCTGGTCATTAAATGATAATTATCTAGAACCCTTATTATAATTAATTTTTGTACGTGTACTTTGTTAGTGACATTATCTTCATCAATCACGTAATGGCATATTCGATCTTTAAAAAGAAAATAAGTGTGATACTTTGTGTATGACACATCATGAAAAATTGACAATGTGATACGCCAAAAATATTTTTCGATGTACATAATGTATACACACGTGTGTATCAGGCGTTTCCATTATACAAACAAAATTTGTATTTTTCAGAAGAATGTAACGGAAAAAAGCACGTTATATTACTTTTTTCATAATTGATGCTTTATTGATAAAAAAAATGTTAAATGCTTCTGGCGATATCTTCCATCGCGTTATAAGCGATGGAATTCTTTTCTTTTTCAATTATAAATCAGTAACTACCCTTCTCACACAAATTACTAATCGCATATTCGTTCCTAAAAACGCAGTGGAATGCTTGAGAAAATAGTGTCACTACTGATGCAAAAACTTGCCAGTTTATCGGATTTAAAACATGTCGTAATGTAGATTTTCTCATGAAGTGGAAAGATACGCACGTGAGACAAATCAAATACAATGATTATTTACAAATTTGTTCTATAGAATATGCATTCTAGTCGGGCACAAACGAGAGAATAAAATTTTTTCGCAATGAATTGAAAGCATTTTTGATATGTGATATTGTGATGTAATTTTGATGGTGATTCGTACGTAATCCTTCGGATTTAAAAAAGATTTAATATTCTAAATACACGTCTGAATTCCTCTTGAAAACACTTTTGCAACAGTTCATGTGCAATCGGTTACCTATTTCTTAACTTGTTAATTGTCATTTGCGCGCTTATCGTTATTTCGCATTTATATTAATAATAATATACAGATGTCCGTATGTTTTCTGCATAGATGGTGTATGTTTACATACATATACATATCCTCTTGATTAAAACTGCTGTCTCGACTTGTACGTAAATACAGTATCGTATAAATTTAATAGATTTGTACCGCGGTTTTCGATTATATATCGCGAGAAAACTCGACTGTAAGGAAGACGTTGTTCGACTTTTCGTGTATATATTCTTCGGCGTCGATTCATGCCTTAAAAAAAAAACCAACGAAACGTGACATTCGAAATATATACATATATATGTATATATATTATGGCAAGTATTCAGAACGTAATTCTGATGCTAGTGCGTATTTAACACACTCGTATATAATTTACGTTATACATACTAGAGAATTTTAGAAATAAAAGCGCGCATTTGTCGATAAAAACGTATTCTGAAAATACGGGCCTACATATATAAACGGCCAACGCCCCATTATTATCAATTTTGGCAGAAATACTCCAAATGACGTTAAATGGATTTTGACCGACAAAAAGGTTTAATGCCAAAAATGTTTGAATTAAGTTATCCATATTATGGAAGTTTATTCATATATATTTATATATAGTATAAATATATATTATATATATAATATACATTAGTATAGTATATATATATATATATATATATATATATATATTTAGTGTGTGTTACGTAGACAAGCGGTTGCATTCGTTTTCTTCTATTCTGGCAAGCTCAACTGCTATAAGATTTTATTGTACAATATGTATATACTTATATGTATATATATGCATATATATATACTATATATGACACCGATGTAATAAACTATACTTCGAAATTTTTAGTAATATAATATTGTAGAACAGATGTTCTTTTTAACTATGCTTCCTATAAATTTACAATTCTTTTTTTTTCGTGAATATACGTACCATATATCTGTCTCATTTTAAGTACCAATAAAAATAAAGATTTTCAACTAATAAGAACAGACCTAACATGTTACAAACACTACGGACTTCGGAGACATAAGTTAGAACGTAATAAAAAAAAAAAGAATAAGAAATATACTACAGTTTACAGTTCGGTTTCACATACATCAGTCACAGCTCGGACTCGTGTATCATTTCTTCACAAAGCAATGAAATTTATTTTGCGGCTTTTTTAAATCGCTCACTTTTGTATATATTGTAAAATTTTACTCATTATACTTTTAATCTTATCACAATTTCTTTTACATCTCATCGTACAATTCTTTCGCAATTCCGACGAATCGTTATATCTCGTAAATTTACGAAACATACAGTATTGTGTGATGCATTTGGAATTTTTGTTGTAAAACATTAAAAATGGACATTGAAAGGATTACACATGAAAAAATTTCTATTACTACCTGAGAAAATGCTCGGTCTTGAATACAAATGACAAGGCGGAACGCGAACAATATCTACTGTGTTGTTCTTCTTGCGCGAGTTTTTAAAATTAATTAGAATAAATAAGAAAATAACGATAGAATGTGTAGTGTAAAAAGTTATCTACACTTATATCTATATCGCCGAAGTGCGTGTGCTACATCTTCGTCACTTTGAAATTTATAATCAATTTCAGAATGAAGAAAGTATATAAAATTTTTCCAATTTTTTCATAAAACAAATATAAAACTATGAAATAGATGTTATGATTTATAATCCAAAACGTAATTTGGAGCACCTAATGAATGAGTAGAGACGTAATAGATGCCCACAGATTGTGAAGATATCATCTTGATTTTTCTTGATAACGATTGCAATTTTATCAAAATTCACGTGCTATTACTTTTTCGTTTTATATCACATTTTTTTCCAAAATGCTTATTGAAAGAATACAAATAAAAATTATCCCTGAAATTTACAATTACGTGTAAATCTGAGATGATACCTCGAACATTTTGACACGTCTTATAGTCGGCCATAAAAAAATTTATGATTTTCTTAGAAAGAAACGCACTATTTCAACAATTTTGAATCGAACGTTCTTTCTTTGCACCACATCATATGACCACCCTAGAAGAGACTATATTACAATAATTTATAATTACTTATTGAATTAGACCAGCTATGCAGAATATGATTTTCTAAAACTGTCTGCTACGTAGATCCAGCGAACAATGCAGTTATTCCCGTATCAGTAGCATTCTTCGAAATTTCATCCACCCGCACATGCTGAGACTTACTAAATATCTCTATACGCGGTAAATTGTCTATTTTAACTTCTTTACGGAACAATTGACCTACACTTCTGCCGATAAGCTGTAAAAGACGAATTAAGATCTGATTATTATTATTATTATTATTATTATTATTAAACGATTTAAATAAAAAAGTGTAAGGTACACAAAAAAACTGTGTAAATAATTCACTTTATACAAATTTTTTCCAACACTTCAAACAAAAACTTTAAGTTAAAAGATTAGCCGGGACATATAAACATCTTTTGGAAGTTACAGTTGTATACCTGATTAGTAATTTTCTTGAAGAGATCCTTCTTTCCCTTTTCGACTTTATTGCCTTTCGTACTGACCACTGACATTTTCTCATCAAAGCGTTGCAAGTCAGCAGGATTAACTCCCGGGATTTGTTGCATCACTTCGATGATGTTCGGAAACTTGGGTCTTAGGCACTCGTAGACCTGTGCGCCTAGAGTGATAAGGGAACCCTGATTGGCTTCGTGTTGACCATGCAGTTGTAAACCTTGAAGAACAGCGACCATGATGTGCGCTGCCATAGAAGGAGTGAGACTGCCGTCAGCTGCCAGAGCTCGGACCACAGGTCCAGTTAATAATGTGGCTTTGAGACTTGCATTTGAGTCGTTCCATGCGAGCGCTCTAGAGTATAAATATGTATTAGAATACATTATTAATCAATAAGTTACTTCTTAAAAAAAGGTAAAAAAAAAAAACAAAAATTAAATTCTTTGATTTCACAACAAAATCTACGATATTTCTACTCATTATAATTATATTTTACCCTAGTACGCATAGTACGACGCTATGACAAGTGGACGGATGACGCAAGATGGAAGTCCCGAGTTCGCTGACAACCTCGGCGACGATACTGTTTCCGCGAGAGAGAGGAGGGTCTACAGCCATTCCCCCGCTGTCCTGTTCCATAGTGTCCGGAGGTGCAGCATCGCTAGCGGCTCCACCAACCAGAGCCACTTTTAACACATCCACGAAGTCCCTAGTCAGATTTCTGTTGAGCATATCATCGATGACTTCCTGCGTATTGGTGTTCTCCTCATCTAGACCACCGGATTCATATAGATGCGCTATGTACTGCCACTTTGCGCTTAATCTTTGGCACACTAGAAAAGAATCGCATTATCGGAATGATAGAATATACGATCGCTTAATACTTGATTTCGTTCGACTCGGTGAAAAGCGAAAAAATAAGAAAATGGAGAAAATTGTTTTGATCACTCACTGTGTGTAGATACGTGAGCCAGTACAGGTAATAGTACGCTCTCATAAAAAGCCGGCGGGCATGAGTATATAAACGGCTTCATAAACACGCGTATAATCGGCCGTAGTCTATAATCTGGAATTGCCTGAAAGAAAAAGAAATATATGAATGATTAATACATGTTAATTAAAAAAATAAATTTTATGTGTATATATATTCTTCTTTTAAGAAGAGACAGGAAATGTGTATGTGTATATATTTCAATCAGTAAAATTTGCGCATTTATTTCAGGGAAAGGAAGACAGTTTATATATTATTTATTATGTGTAAAATGTATAAAAAAATTCATTTGTGATACAAATATTAAAAATAGTAAATTTTCTACATGTCATTAAAGACACAGAGAAATTTGTGAAAATTTCGAGTTTTATCACAGGAAATTTAAAATAGTGTTAGAAAAATATTATTTTAAAATGATAATAAATAACATAAATTTTTATGCAAAAAATGAGTTTTACGTTTATGTTGTGACCATTTGTAACATTTCTTTAATAGTTTACTTTAAATTCAATCTAAGCAAAATGTCACGAAGAAAATTAGACCAGAAAAAATAACGAAGTACTTTTTTAGAAATAAAACAATCGTGGCAAAACGAAAGATGAACAAACATGAGTGACAAAAAACTTATATTTTTAATAAATTTTGCATTACAAATTACTATTCCACATCTTAAGTATGCTACTAAATACTTAAAGGGAAATCTATTTAAACATTCTTTTAATAAATTTGCAAATTTGGTTTTTAATTTAATCATACAAATTTCCTGTTTCTCTTGATTTAAATTGTAAAAGATGATTGCTGAAACAAAATATTAAATTACCTCCATGTTTGAGAAAACTGAGTTCAATAAGGCTGGTGCTAGTCCAGGCAATTGATAAAAATCTCGACCGATCATGTGACAGCCGCTACCTAACATATGGTAGCATTGGTCATGAACTGTACTCAGGAATGATTGCATTCGAACCAGAGTGTTTGAGATCTGGTCCATTTCACTATTATTGTCGTTAGTTATATTAACGCCCAAAAGATTTGCCTTCTCAGATTCCAAAAGTCCATAAGCATTTTTGTAACCCTAGAATAAATGCAGATGTATTTAGTAATTTTTAATCAGAACGAGATATCATTCGACGCAACTCCGTTATTTTACTCGCAACGATTAGTTTTTCAATACTTGTACAAAGTGGATTAAATTCTTGTGCACGCTCTAATCTTAAAATTTAATTTGTAAAATATTAAATATTTAATAAAAGGGTAAAACAAAGGGCAATTCGAGAGTTACCGACAATTCTAAATAAAAAGTTTTAATATTTAATACGTTTATAATTCATTTTAATTATATACACGCAAAATTTGGTTATAGGGCAGTTAAAATAAAATATTGAAATCATGGATCAAATGTCGTAAGACAATTATTAATAATTATCTACACATCCGATTTACTAACTATTGTATTTTAAATAAGATAACACCGCAACTCTTAAATGCATTGAATAATTTAAATGAATTTCTTTCGTCGATGCATCTGAAGAAGGCTCAAACCAAGAGCCGAAACATGTAATGCGCAAAACCGAGCTATGTATACACATTAAATTCTTAGTAATTATATATTTTTAAATTTATTAAATGTGAAAACTTTATTTAGAATTGTCAGTAACTCTCGAATTGCCCCTTGTTTTACCCTTTTATTGTTTTGACATCGAGAGCTTTGACTGTTAATATTTAATATTAAATATTTATTACTAAAAATTTTTCTGACACACACACGTACACGCATATAAAATAATTATAATTAATTATAAACTTAATTTCCTACCAAATTTTTACATATCCAACTTCGTCTCAGTTGTTTAGTGACATCAAATGTTACCTCAGATAGAGCAGCAAGAGCAGCATGACTGAAGAGACCATTCATTGTTCGCAGTAGCGCGAACAGTGTCGGTAGAATAGGTATTATATGAGGTGTTGCTGGATTTCGATATACCGGATTACCGCTTTCGCTGAGTGCGGCTACGAAGCCACCCCTGGCCGCGCGATCAGGATCTTCTGGAATTGAGCATCGTTTAACTACACTCAGCATAGTGCAAATATACATCATAAGATCGCTGCGATTGCGTTTGGCTGGATCTTCCAACATGTTCTCCACCGGTGGTCTGTCTAGTCCCACAAACTGCACAAGTTTTAGAGGACTCTCGAACCATTCCGTGCCTAACGCGATGAATTTACTGGATGTATCACCGATCACTTCCGTGACAAATCGAGTCTGTCTCTCGTAATCGCAAAAGTGATTCGAGATAAGGAGCAGTGCCTCATATAGCACGACACACTCTATTCGAGACAATGGGCTTGGTTCTCGGGTCAGACTGCGCACCATCGTATGTATCTGCTCGAATACTGGCAGTAACAACAGTGGATATTTGAGACTGATCTTCACCATCAGACTGGCTGCATGTCGTCGTACATTTTTGATCGCCCGTAATCGATTACTCTCGTTCTCACCAGGCGCCTCGAATACTAATGCGGCGAAGATCTTCTCAAGGACGCGAGGTAAGATAGCGACACCTGGCATAGCCATCGAACCAGTTGACATTGATAAAAACACAAAGAGTGCACTTATACAAGAGAGTAAAGCGGATAGAAGCCAGGGATCTTGTGGTGAATAACCTAGACAGAGTTCCAACAGCTGTAGACCCGTCTGTACGCTCGGCCGTTCATTGATTAACAAGATTCTGGATACGACAGAGTCTAATGCATGCGCGAGGGCTTCCCACTCAAGATACTCTCGGTCATTCTGATCGCTCTTGTATTGTAGATTTGCCATACCCTTGGTGATCTTTGCAGTCAGCCACTGTTGCACATATGTAAACGTTACTAAAGGTGCCACCATAGTTGCATGTCTAAATCCTTCTAACAAATCCATTCTGAAGCGATGCAGAAAAACGTTGAACTCTTCCTCTGAGTCGTAGTCGACAAGGCAGTACGTAGTCATGCCGTTACTCTGTCTACCATGTGGATATGTAACGCGGATTAACTTAGGTGCGGTATGCTCCACATACTTGGGCACATACGTAAGCAGTAACGAGTCCGTCTTGATTTGTTCGTGTTTAAACAGCATCACCCAAATTGCGTTTGCTAAATGCGTGAGCGTAAGGCTCGGATACATGGTAAACGTGAGCACGGTGTCCAGAAAGACATTAAAATGCGTTGGTCGTATACTAGAGGCATCATCTTTTCCCCATAAGGCGCAAAGTTGCGTCGCCATACCAGTCAGTACCTGAAATAACAATCGCAAGTGACGATTGATTTTTTATAGCTGCTAAAACTATAAGATGCGATACAAGTTTATTGAATATTAATAGCGCGATTATAACAAGTACCTGTGTGAGCTTCTTCAAAAATAAGTAATGATTTTCATGGAAATTTGTAGGTCCAGCTAGAGGCGGTGGAGCGGTGGCCGCAGTATAAATATACCTTAAAGCCTCCTCTGAAAACAAGATCATCAGTTGTTTTCGATCTTCGGCCTTGCCTTTACGGTTTACAATCTGAAGCAGACATTCAGCGGCAGCACACTGAAATATAGGATCTCCCAATAGGAGGCACAGTATCTGCAACAATCTTCCGTCCTCAGCCATTACATGGTTTATAGAAACCCATTCGACAAATCCAGTTAACGTGGACAGCACTACCTGTTATACCGATACGAATTTTAATTGAAATTGTTAGATACATGTATTCTTTTTGCGAAAACTTACTTGAACGACTTTACTATGTGCTGCAGCTTCGGATGTCTGTCCTAAGGCACTTTTCTTCTGGAACTCTGAAAAGTGTTGCTCCATTAATCTCAGAAAGAAGCTAAAGATCTCAGCCATGTTCGTAGTCAACGCCTGATATATATCTTTTCTTCTCTGATTGGATTCAAGTGTTTGTAGAAGCGCTACATCTTCTACTAATCTGAGGAATACCAACAGAACTAACTCAGTTTGACTTTCGCCTTGCGTGCAAGCCTGACTAAGCTCAGCCAATAATGTGGGCCACTGCTGAGGCCATTCTCGCTTTATCATTTCAACTACAACACGTGACAGAGCATCCTTTATATGAGCTTCTTCTTGTAGCAGTGGTTGGGTGCCTTCTTGAAGTAATTTCATTGCATTCTCCTTAATGAAAATTTTTTCTGACTGAGAAATTTGTGTCCATCGATACTTCACGCAGTGCTCCATCAGTTGTAGACCAAAGTGGCGTACCACAGAACTTTTCTCAGGTGATTTCTGTGCCAAGTACAAGCCACATTGCACACACAATGGTGAAGATTCCTTGAACCTCTCACAGGCATTATACATTTCCAGACGTTGCAGCTGAGATATACCAGGTGACATCATCATCTCGACCACCCGAGCCAGTTCTGCCGATATCTGGGCGACATCACCCACTCCGAACTCCATTCCTACTGAAATATAAAAGAGGTATGTTCAACATATGTAAGTTATAAACAACACTTCTTACATAATATTTTGACTACCACTTTATTTATCTCTTTCTTATCAAATAAAGAGAAATATAAAGAAAATAAGCAACAGAAGATAAAAATTTCTTGTCCATCTCTATATGACAATCAATAACATATGTGTACTGTTGGTTACGAAAAAGATGTTCTTGAACATAATTTTCCTTGGCAATAGTTAAATTGAAAACATCCAGTACCACCTCCCATCATAATAAATACATTTACATAACACACACACACACGCAATCAATAAAATTTATTTTAACATAATTTCCCCGAGCTTTTTCGATGGAAACAGAGATGAGTACTTCGGTGACCGGTTAAGAATCATTAGTATATATCAAACGTTTTCCCATAATTTTGCGAAACTGATGTAAGATATCGTTACGGAACGTCAATCTGGGAGCCGGTATAAATAATCGAAGCAAAAGAGGTTCGCTCACGCTGCACCCGTAAGGGCGTACGCGAGGAAATCTGCGGCGACGACGGCGTTGCGTTCATCGTTATAGCGAGGTCGTGTCCTCCAATCGGGATTGGGAAGAATTTACGGGTGAACACGCGCGGCGCAAACACGCGTGGACCGAAGCAGCTTGCCGCGTGCACGCGCTCGTTCGCTCGTGTAACTCGCTCACCTAACTGACGCGAAACTGCAGTACGAGACGGAGCTTGGCGGGGCCGCGTGGACGGCGCGGGATTCTCTCCGGTGCCGCGCGTCAATTCATACCTGAGTCCGTCTTCAGGTGGGAACAAAAAAATCGCGAGATCAACGCGCGCGATGCGACGATCGTGTGCTATACGCTCGTCACACAGCACTTTTCCGGAGAATGCGGCAGTGGCACGCTGGCCGGACGATCGCATACGATACAGACACACGGATCACGTGCTGCCCTCTCGACGGCAATGTGCCGCCGCGCCGATTTAACCTAACCTAACTCGACCAGGCGTGTTGTATGTGACTTACATACACGCGCTTTTTTTCCCTCTCCGAATTGCGGTAAGAAAACAAGTTGTGACTCCGATCTAATCTTCTTCGCTGATTTCCCTGTTGTGTTGATGTCGTGTGTTTATAATCCTCCTCTTTTCTCCGTTTTGTTAACAATAGATCGATCACGGTGAAGTCCCGCAAAACTAACCTATCTCGCGTCTTGTAGGTTATGCCGGCTCCGTGACCGTTCCTACGCGTGCACATACGTACGTATCGAGAACGAAAGAGGATGGACGAAGCAGTCACCACGCCGCCTACATTTAAACGGAGTTTCTTAGAGCGGATTTATTGTGTCGAGTTTTCGCCGTACGAGTGGTCGCAGCACTTGATTTGCATCGCCCTCGCCAAAGAGATCGTCGTCGGTACTGTCAGATTTCAGGTTCGTGTGCGAGGTTTTTCGATGAGAATTGTCATATCGTTTTTTTAGTTTTATCAGAAATTATCAATATGTTGACGAAATCGATATAATTACAATTGCTGTCCATTTATATCAAAACTCAAATAATTCTCTTTGTGATATTTTAACTCAGTTGAACACATGTTCCTTTTCATTCTGACAAGTGAGATTCAACTGAGTTTTTACCCACAATCTGTACGAACTCGAGGTCGTATACTTTACTGAATCTTGTTAATTTATGTTAAAAATAAGATTATAAATGCGTTGTTACATGATAACTTTTTGTTACCAAAATAAGCAAGTAGTATGATATCATTTGAGTAATAAATTTGAGTATAAAATATTTATACAACTTGAAAGTCAGTATTATTTGTGTAAAAATCAAAAGCAACTTATGTCGCAAAGTATACAGTAAGATCTGATAAAGTTAACAAATTTTAAATGGCAGGATGAAGATGATGCTGTGGAAGATATGACATATAGTCCTATTAGAACATTTCACCATGATGCCAGACCTCATGCGATTGCTTGGAGTCCAGAAACCTCCCTAAGTATTGTCCCCAAAATTGTCACATTTTGCATTGCTGGATCAGATTTCAAAATAAGATTGTATAATAGCAATCTGAATGATGTCAATATGTTTGAGGTAGGAATATCTGCAAAGTTATGAGTTTATAGCTCTATTAAATCTGACTGAAGTAACAGATATTTTAAAGATTTTAGAAGGTCACAAAGATTATATGAACGCAATTTCGTATGAACCAGAGGGTGAACTATTGGCATCAGTTTCCGACGATCATACATGTAAGTTATGGGCAGTTAAAGAGAACCAAAAGTGTGTGTCTACATTTTACTTAACGTCACCTGGTACTAGCGTATGTTGGCATAATGAAGAGTCTGGCAAGCTCTTAGTAGCGGAAAAGAATGGTTTAATACGTATGTATAACGTCAGAAGTCAGCAAGCAATTATGTCCCTCGATTCAGGGGCTGTTCCCTTGACTGCAGCTGACTGGGGACCCAATCCCTTAAAAGTTGCATCGATAGCTGCTGGAGAATTGCTACTTTGGGACGTGTCTAGACCTAGGTAATAAAACATTTAATTTTAAATTCTCTTGTATCACACATTGAGTCTGTTCTTTTTACCTGAACTTCTTTAAATATGAAAAAAGAAAAGTTAAATTGTATTAAAGAAGTTTAACTAAGAAGAACAGGCTTATTGGTTTATGTTTCGATTAAATTTGTGTATTTATTTCTAATTTTCTAGTCGTCCTCTTGATGAGCGGACACTTCATGTGGAAGGTGGTTTAACAGTAAAAATCTCACATGCGAATGAAAATCTGGTATCAAGTATCGGATGGCCAGATAATTTATTGAAGGTTGTTAATTTAAAATCGAAAGTAGTAGTATTATGTGGAAAGGTAAAATTAATTGGCGGTATGACATGGCATTATAAATTACCATATGTCTGTGCTGGAAGTGACAGAGAATTATGTTTCTGGAGAATAAATGTAAATTAGTAGATAAACATTGAATACGATTTTCCATAAATGAACTTTTCAGAACTGAAGATGTTACATAGCGATTTAGATAATTTTTTTGTTATGCTTTAATATCTCTTTATAAGTTGATTAAGAATTAATTTTTATACACAACACATTAATGCATCAAAATTTAGATTATCGTTAGAAATATATTCTCTTATTACATATATGCGATAAATTAATTTATATATACACATAAATCTTTTGGAGATAAAATTTCACATTTGCGTATAAAAAAATGTATTTTTATAACGAATTTTACAATTACAGGATTTACATGGACAATATATATATAAGTAATTTATCATGCGTAGCTTATCATTTATAACAATGTAAAAATTTATTCTACTATTTTTCCTTGTATTTGTATCGATACTTTTTCATTTATTTAATACGATGTACTCATAATGAAATATTTTCCAATTGTGAATGTTCTTGTGGCGTTTTTATTTCTACAAATTTATCTAAAAATTGTAAAAGTTGTAATTTATTATTATCATCTTTGATTTTGTTAGCAACAAAACCAGCTTTCTGGAGAACGATGTTAGGATCCGGTATGTTAACTCGATCTTCAATGAATTTATTTACATCAAGTTTGAGTTTCTCTGCTTCTTCCTCAGTATTCCTATATTCATCGCCATTTTCGATTTTATCCCTTATCTCCACTAGAACATACATATTTAAAACATATTATGTATTTATAAGACAATGAATCATCATTAAATTAATTTATCAATGCTATGCACAATTATATATCAAATCTAACAACAGATTAGAAGAAAGAACTAACCCGCAGGACTTATGGCAAGAGCCATAAGTTGATCCTCCAATTGATTATATTTAGAAATCTTACTCTGATGAGATAAATTTGTTTCGTTTACGGCATCGTCTATCAAATCTAATACCAATTGCGTAAACTGTATTTCTTCTTCAACTGATAGCTTTTCTAAATATTTCAATAACCAATTCAGAAGACCGATACATAAATAAGCGCGTATACTCTGCGATACAGGATAATCGCTTTTTGCATAAATACTATCCTCGTCCGTTTGCTTTTTAGTATCCAATTTCGTGAGAACACGTGTGAAGAATCCCTCTTTCATCATTGTTTCGTATTCCACTTTATTTTCAAATTCGAACATATTACCTAATGCCGTTGTTAAATATTTTAATCGGATCTCTTTTGCATCGCACGTGGCCGCCATGGCAATTTGATAACTAACATTTATTTGCACCTAAAAAAAATGATATAAAGAAATATAATACAAATTGTTATTATGCGCAAAAAGTATTAAGCATTAAATATTATTTAGGAAAAGTGTACTGATTATTTTTATTTTTGTTTTCTATATCTTACCACTTTATCATTTGTTACATTTCCCAAAATAATGTTGGTATCATCTTTCTTTTGTAAGAGATTGTAGTAACAAGTGCCATATTTTTCCTCAAGTATTTGTAGAATACCATTATTTTCCTTGCCTTCCAACCACATCTTCATTATATCAAACTCAGTATGTTCTAGGAATGTGCTCATGATTATCTCATGAGCATCTATATGTACGTTTAGATACTACACAGAAAATTTGTAATTGCATATGAATATAAAAAAATATATATTGTGTATATTGAGCATGTGTTGTGTGTAAAAATATACCTGAACTTGTCGGATGTCTGTGATAAGGGAACGCGCTTTCGACCATTCTGACTTCATGAGAGCGCGCGTCATTGCGTCTACTGCCAAAGACGTACCAAATCCCTCATCGCCGTTTAAAAACGCTAATTCTGACGCTACCTCCAAACAATGTAAATCTTTTCGATGAGACAGAACCTTTGCTGCCTTGTCAAAGTATCCTAATTTTACGTAACTGTAATATATGTAACATCAAAAGAGTTAATTTAGTAAAAATTTTTTATAACTATTAATTATTTATGTTTATATGTTTATTTTTTATATCATGTAAATGTAAAAAAATGTATTTTTCATTCATGGCACACTACAACGCTTAGAGTGATTAATAAAAGAATATTAATTTAAAAAAATAATTATCTTACCAATGAGCTGCCTGCTCCATATGACCTTTAAAAGTGGCCCATTCTGCCCAGGATTCTAATATTTTATTTAAAAACATATCGTCATCATCCAGTTTACATCTCGCGAGTGCATAAGCCTCCTTAAACATCTTAGCATTTACAAATACATCTATGGCTTCGTGAATTTTATGTATAGCTAGTAAATATGACACCGCTTTTTCCGGATTGTGTTGCAGTATTAATTGATGCGCATACGCCTCACATGTATCTCTCCACATTCTATAATATCAATCTCGATTATATTCAATAGCCACAAACTTTGTGTTATATTTGTTAAAATATTCATACGTACTTCGTGGAAATACTAGATGCCAGCGATACCAAAAAGTCATTTAATTGTTTATCCCTAGTTGCACAAATTAGATTGTTTTTCAAATCATCACACCACATATTCAACTCAGTAACAATGTCTGAATTGTCATGTGTTAACTCTGTAGATAAATAATAAATCATTAATATCACGTAACAATTTGTATATATGTAATTGTAATATAACGTTAATATAATATTCTTAAACTTACTTTCGTTAGAAATAAATGTCAAAAAATCATCTTTTTTTTCGCAAAACAAAGATAAGTTTTCAGACGCGTTTTCAGAAGAGTTTTCTTTGGTTTGGTTATTTCTTATATCATGCTTGATGAAATTTAAAATTTGAGATTTATCGTTTATTAATTTGTTATATTTATTAAAGTATGATTTTCTATCTTTCTTTTTCGATTGTGATACTTTAAGTTCTACAATTAAAAATTGAGAATATTATTAATGTCAATTGTATATCATCATATGTATCAATTGTATAAAAAAATTATTTACTTGGGGTAGTTACTTCAATAGATGATTGATTAACAAGATTTGTTAATGCAGTTGAATTTTTTTCATCATCCGTTTTATTTTTCGTTGTTTTTTTCTGTTGTTTTTGTTTTTTCTTCGAAGCTTTAATGTCAGAAGATTGCTTCGGCGATTGCGCTGATAGAGTATAATTCCATATGTGTAGTGTAAAGTCTGACGAGCCAGTCATTATTAACTGTGGCTTGAGAGGACTCCACATACAGCAAAGCACAGGTCCATCGTGACCTATGTACGTGCCCATCAACTCCTGTTTTTCAACATTCCACACCTAAAATGATATTCGAAGAAAATTATAACGATAAAAATCATATTGAAAATAATATTTAAATAAGATGACATTTGCAACATGATATAACTAAAAGACAATATTGTATGATATATAAAAATAATAAACATCAAATACAAGTTTAATAGAGGTGACATATAGCTCTGTATAAGAGCGATCGACTTATAATCAGCAAATCTTTGACTCTCAATCTCATACATGCCTCAGTTTTGTAAAAGGTTGACTGGAGAGTTATGAATATAATAAAGGAATTATAAAGTGAACAGTAACTTGTTTCGAGAAAGAGAGAACCCATATTTCATTCTACAAGCTTAATAAATAGGTGTAAATAAAATATTATATGATGCTAATAATATAATAATTTAACAGTTTGAACAGTATTATATAATGTATGTGTATATTTGACCTGTGCGATATTATCGTAGCTACCAGACACTAAATGCCCACTGAAATGCGGACTCCAAGCTAAGCACACCACTTTATCGGAGTGTCCATTTAATGTTGCTACTATCTTGTGCATCGTGCGTTCCTGATCGTTTTCTATGACGTCCTTCATACCTGTCGCTTCTAATTCCTTTATTAACTTGGACATATCAAAAATCATTATGCTACACGAATCAGATGCAACTGCCAAATAGTTAGCAATCGGTGACATCCATTTATCTGCCATTGTACTTTCAGGATGCCATGCCAAACAATTCACCACATTTCTTAAAATGTGTATCGAGTTGCCACGTTTTCTCAGTTTCTGATCGTAGAACATAATTGACCTGAGAAAACAAGATCCGTTTAAAGCATTTTTTTTAAATTTTTTTTATTTTATTTTTTAAAGAAAACTGTGTGTTAAATATATTTTTTATATACCCATTTTCTAACGCAACTGCTAAGCATATATTGGATTTCCATGAAAATTCCAAACATCCTTCTTTTATTATAGATATAGGTTCTGAAACAAAAATTATGATAATAAAACAAAATACGATAAAATAATTAATATTAATATCTTACCATCGCTAGGTGCAGCTTTTTTGTAAGCTATTAATTCTCCTTCTGCACAAGAAAACAAAAAATATTCTGATTTAAGTTGTGCCCATTCAAGTTTATAAATGGTATTTCGGTGATACTGCCTGTACAATACAGGTTGTTTGTTAGTTTCAATTGCCTCAAACACACCAACGCGACCCTCTCCAGTACCAAAAGCAACAGTAGATTCGTCTTCCGGGAACCACGAAACCTAGTGCAATATATTTTATAATACTAATTCATAACATTTTCTCACACATAAAAACAGCTTGCGTACGAGAATTTCTTACCACTCTTATTTTTCCCTTTATTTTCTGCCAGTGCAAAATAATGTCAAAAGTTGTTGTGTGTGGTTCAGACAAGTTCCATAAACGCAGCATTGCATCTCCTACGCCAAATGCAATGCGTGAGGTATCAATAGGACAAGCGCTCATACAATAGACGAATCCTCCTTGTGTAGGAATCTTGTACTCCAGGATCGCCGGTTTCGTAGGATCGTTGTTAGATTTGCAACATATAACCCAGCGATCTTGTGCTAAAGACCAGACCCTAAGCCTATTGATACAAAATTAAAAAATTTCAATATTCATATGTTTGTAATTTATGTAAAGCGTTTACTCACTCGGAATCTGTTTTCGAATCATCAAATGTTGCGTCGTAATTAAGTGCAGCAGCTATCGAAAATAATCCTCTATTATGAAATGTATGGAACAATTTACACTTAGGCTTTTCTTTGTTTGCTGAAAGTTCCCAAGAAAGAAGTTCGCCCCAAAGGGAGCTAGTTAGAAGCAAATTGGGCTTTGCCCAACATACTGCAATCCAGGTTCCATTCGTAGTGTTGAGTTTGCTTTTATGTGGGACAGTCATGATAGGCATATTTGGTATGTTTAGTACAGTCTCATATCTACCATCTCTACCGGCTCTCCAAATAAATACAGATCTGAACATGAAAAAGATAAATATAATATTAGTCAGTTTTTAGTTATCTGTTTCTTACATTTTTATATGTAACAATATAAATATTCATATATATTTTACATAACTAATTCAGTATGTAAGACATAGAGGCATACAGTTTATAAAAGCTTTGTCTCACCTATCTCTTGCACCAGAAGCTAAAAGTAAATCTCTCTTATCTCCTCCATTTAACACATTCATGTCTGAAGGACACCAAGATAAACTAACTATGTCCTCATTGTGTCCTCTCATTCTATACAATATTGTATCCTTTTGAACAATATAAATTAATCCGCTTTTAGTACCTATTGCTACAAGACTAGAGTCATGAGGACAGCAAGCTAAACATGTAGCAGTTAGCTTGCCTAGAGATACTATTTTCGAAGTCTTATACTGTATATTACAGTACATTAAAGAACCCTCTAAATTCACTGCACACGCAAGATTGCAATCTTTGACTGACCAGTCAACTCCTACAATCAATTTGCTTCCCTGTATTAACAATACAATATATATTAATATAAATTACATAAACAATTAACACTTATTATGAGATATATTTAATTTTTTTCTGTCACTTACATCGACAAACGCGAATTCTGCTACCAACTCCAACGTATCAACATTCCAAACTCTAGCTTTGGCATCATCACCACTACAGATTAATAACTCTGGACTGTCTGGATCATCAAGCTTAGGGCAAAATGCTAATGCAGTTACTTTGTCTTTAAAATAATCCTTAATTATAGAATACTGCATAACATTATCTTCTTTTGGCTTGGCAATGACGATGAAGTTTCTCGCACCCCATGCCACAGTTCCACGTTTAGAGCAAGCAAGGACATTGCTCAAATACCAATTTGGCGAAGGAGGCAATGTAACTTCATTCATCCTGATATGTTGTATTCTCTGTTAACAAAAGAAACAACTCTTATAAAATCATCCTCAACAGTTTATTGAAAACATATTCTATAAGATATCAAACTGGCAAACGGACAGAATACCAAAATAGAAATATAATGGAAGTTACTAAGAGAATATGACAGCAGATTGACTGTAGAAGTCAAGTAGAATTTGTCTTTTTGTAAATCCTTAATAACAATATATTTCGTTCAAATGATTATATAATAAACGAGATAGTTGATTTCTACTGAATTTTTACTGTTCAAGCTCCTTTTATTATCAGATTTATATATCAGCAGGCTTTGTTGACAAAACATAATTTTAATGCATATACAATTGATGTCAATTTGCTGTAATATTTTGTTGAAATACTAATAAATTACTAGCAGTCTGTTAACGTTTTACTTATTGAATATTGGCCAAATTCTTATTCTTTTTCATAGTACTGTGAGAGATAATAAAATATATAAGTTTATATACTATAAAATAATAAGTATAAATTTTAAATATATAAACATATAAATAAAATGTACAAGTAAAATATATAAACAATAAGATATAAAGGTATGAATTTTGACTTTTGGGATCGTTTTTAGAATTCCACATCGAGTTACTAATTCCTTTTCACTTTTGTGCGCAACTGATCGATTAGAGGTTAACCGGCACTTTCAGTTATGGATTTAATACCACGTGATATCAATGACGAAAACGAAGACGATAAACTTGGATAATTTAAAATATCTTACTCGAATTACAGTCGTTAATCGGTGACTCTCAGCTACACTATCGGTATTCTTTATCAATACGAGACCGAGCACGGCACAAAACAAGAATCTTGACACGTGTATTTAAAACGATTATTTACTCATTAAAAGAGCTATCGGTATTTATTTTCTTGACGAAACACTTTTTTCTTACCAAAACATGTATGTCTGTATCGAGTTATGACAAAGGCCGAAACGTTGATCTTTTAAAATTGAAGAATACTTACATAAAAACGACGTAAACACGTTACTCAAATAATACGTGCTGATGATATATGTTATGTACCTACGTGGATACATGTATAAATCGACAATCATAAAAAAAATTCAAAATAAAATGGAAGTAACGTAAGGTTTTGATTGAGCGCAAAATTAAATTAATTATAAATTCAAGTAAATCTCATTAAACAAAGAAAGAATAATAAAAAATTGTTTCAAAACTGTTATATTTTTTATTAATATTAAGCAAAAGTCTTTATAAGTATAAGATATATGTACAAAAATGTAATTAATTTTTAATTTAATATTCGTAACTTCGAACGTTTAATTATAAACAGTTTATAAAAAAAACATAGACTTAAATTTTAAATATATATGTTTTATATTTAACACATTTCTTTATGACATTCTTCTATTTCAATTTTTGCAGTTAATTTTACTACGTAATTTTACACTCTTTTCAATTAAAATTTTTATTTTTATTCCTTTTCCTTTTGAAAAATGTACTGTATGGTGGGTGGGTGGGTGTGTGTTGCAGTATTAATTTTTTTTATTATACACAATTATTTAATAATATATATCTATTCTGAAAATGATAGATATTGAAAAGTATTTTTCAACAATTGGCCCTTAGAGACACAAGTGACAAATAGGTGCATCCAGAAGCACGTACACTCAATAAGTTACCTTCCTTGCTGTTTTATTGGTATATTCTTTTAATGATCTACTTGATGCAACAAATGCTTTGAAGCATTTTTGATTGGTCAATTAGTAAAATTCTTTCTTTCGATTGATCAGTCAAAAACTTCGAAGCATTTATAGAAAGAACGTTCCAAAAATTGGCCGTACTCTACTGATTAATTATTTTATTAGTTAAATTGCATTAAAAAATTGTGTGGTTAGGATCAAACTTAATTTTGAATATAAAATCGGACTATGAATATCATCTTATAAGAGATTGGACTTAAAACAATCTTAAACATAAAATTACTCGAATTATTAAAAACATGACACGCCTTATAGAAGTGTGTTTCGAGAAAAACGTTAAAATTTTCAAGTCAAGACGAATATCTCCTTTCAACTATACATGGAATACAAATGGAAAAAATAAATTGCAACAAGATGAGTAGCTCGCCTAATGCGAACAACTATACGTGTATTCTTAATTATTTTTCAATTGTTCGAACAATGTTCACATTTATCAGACTAATACTGTTTTATTCGTTCTATCATCACGCCTTCTTCCTCCCCCCCCCTCTCTCTCTCTCTCTCCTGTCTCTTTTCTGATTAATACATATATATATATCCATATCAGCATTCCTTAGATACAAAGATCGTGATAGAAACAGAAAGAGCTCAGTTGTGCATACGTAGAAAGCACAGTCATACTTTTCATTTTGATCCTCTAATATATTATTACATCTTAACGTCTTGAAGGATCCGCGATCAAAGTCAAATCCTGTCGCCGGTTTTATCGTACCGACACGATGCGGCCAATTGTGATAGCATTACTCTTGCTATTTTGCGACCTTACCGCAGCCGTGACATTTGACATTTCTCAAGCCATCTCGCCTAGCACGTTCATAAACACGCGGAATAGCAAGGAACAGCCCAATAGCGCCAAATTCAATCTCGATGCCGACCTTAATACGGTAAGTAAATTTTTTTTTCTATATTCTGATTTGAGATTTTATAAAATACGATATTTTATATTTGAGACCATCTCAATTACGATCTTGAAACACTTATGATTAATTCATTGACCAAGTGGAATATTAAAATTACTTTAAATGACCAGATTTAATAGGATATTAAGTGTAAATTCGATCTTGTAATTAAAATTGAAAATCTTGCAGGTGATAGGCCGATATTTCATATGTCGTACGACAAGGCTTTTCAAGCCTGTTTATTGGCTGTAAAACAGAGAGATTCTCGGATCTCTCTGTCCTATAACCAATCAACGTGCTTGAAAAGCCTTATCGTACGACACATGAAATATCGGCCATATATTGTATGATCATCTTATTGATTGAATGAGATAATATTATACATAGAATGGTATATTCATATGCTGTGATATACTGTAAATAAGATAAAAAATTATTTCACGATCGTTGCCCTTTGATTCGAAAAATTTATTATCTTTGAAATTATTATAAATTATATTCTTAAATTACACTCCTCTGATATTAATTACAGTTTTATACAATACTCACAAAAAAATATGAATCTCTGTTTTTATGTATTTTGAGAATTATTTACTGTAATTTTGTACAATAATTACTAAGTTTTCTTTTTCCTCTTTTTGAAATTGCGATTTATACCATTAGTGATAAACAAATTATTTTCATTTTTCCTAGGTGCAAATGATAAGAAGAGCTGGTTATCCCGCGGAGGCTCATATTATACAAACGCAGGACGGTTATCTTTTAACACTTCATCGTATCCCAGGTAATAAGGATCAGCTACCCGTGTTGTTGCAGCATGGTTTGTTATGCAGCTCTGCCGACTGGGTCATTGCCGGCAAGGATAAAGGGCTTGGTATTACCTAAATCAAAGCATTACTTTAATTAAAGAAATCATCGATTATTCTTCGGAAAAATACCAAGATAAAGTCTTAAATTTCAATGTGTTAAGAAAATTTAATATGTCTAATACAAATTATAATGCATTTTAATTTTTTAAAATATTAATTTTTATTTTTAAATATTATCTTTTATGTAAAAATTTTTTACATTAAGATCAAATATTATTCTTCTGAATCTTAAAAATTTCATTTTTTACGTAAAATCAAATTAATATATATAAGAAATTTATCAGATATGTATGGCTATAGATTATGTATACACAGTGTTGCCAAACTTGATACATTTCTAATTATATTAGCTGGTACTACATTGCAGAAAAGACAATAAGAAAATGGAAGAATCAAATACAATTTTTTAATCAGTATCTTTTGATTCAATCTGAGTTTTGCCATTTAGTTGTATAATTTTTATTTTATTTTTTTACTTGTTTCTGGTAACATTGTGTATAAAATATTATAAAGCCGAAGTATTATTACGTAAGTAGCTACTGTAAACAATGTTTTCTTTATCGTGTTAGCTTTTATATTGGCTGATCAGGGCTATGACGTTTGGTTGGGCAATATTCGTGGAAATACCTACTCAAGAGCGCATGTTTCTTTATCTCCATCAGATTCAAGATTTTGGAATTTCAGGTACTTACATTATAAAATAAAAAACAATACAGTAAAAATAATATAGTCGTAACAATGATTTACAATTTTAATTAGTAATATAAGAGCATCAACGTTCAACAGTTCTCTGAAAAAAACTGTACATTAAAGTGATATTTAAAATAAAAGTAAAAATAATATTTTAAAAGTATACATGCATAATGTAGTACAGCATTCTACCATAATTATTGTTGATTATATAGCTTGTCGTCACGTTTTTCACAAAATATATATGTTTTTACGAGATTTTCACAAATGTGAAAATGACATAATGATGGATTGGCCTTCTCGATTTCTGAATATTGATTGAAAACATCTGGTCAATATCATAAAGATAAAGAAAGCTTCAAGAAAAATAAAGAATTTATTTTAAGTAGTGTTATTTTGACACATTTAGAAAATTTGAAGAGGTTCTTATCCAATAATCTAACCGAAAATCTCGTAGAAAGCATGTCTCGATAAGTTATAATAAATAATAATAGTAATTAGTTGCCATACTTACTAAGTAAATGTATTTAAAAAAAAAATACGTGAATATGTTTCTAAAATATAACTTTTTAACTTTTTTAATAAGTATACTTGGTTTTTTTTTTTCAAACTGTCGACAATGCTCTTACTTATAGTAAAAAATAAAAGTTAATTTTTATACTATTTATTATTTTATGCTGTGTGTAATATATATCCTTTGCTATATTTTATAAAATATATCAAGTGAAATTGTTAGTTTTCATGAAATGGGTGTCTATGATTTACCTGCAATGATTTCGTATATCACGAATACCACGTCACATCCATTACACACGTACATTGGTCACTCGATGGGCACAACTGCTTTTTATGTGATGGCAGTGGAACGTCCAGAAATTGCTCAAAGAGTGCAAATGATGATTAATCTCGCACCTGCAGTTTTTGTGAACCATATGAAAAGTCCAATACGATATCTTACTTCCTACATAAACGATTTTGAGGTAGTATGTCCACGTACTACTAGAAAGTAAGTTAATTATTAATATATGTGTATAATGATCTAATGACTCAAAACATCTAATAATTAAGAAATTATATCTAGCGTTAATTCACCTTATTTTATAATTTTACGCTACATCGAGGATGTCCTAATTGTTTTAGTATCACTTTTCAAAAATAATCCTGTCTTTCATGTGTCTTTTCTAGCAAAAAAAATGTCGATATATTATATTAATAATCCTTGAATTATAAATGAATAAAACTTTAAGAGTTATATTCGAGTATATTCGAGAGTATATTAGAGAAAATATAATAAAACTGTATTTTGTCAGCTAATTCCAAGCGCAATTTACTTAAAAAATTTAATGTTTCAGAGGTACGTTGTATCAAATATCAGAAAACTGCAATAATCGTTAAAAATAATATGCGACCAGTTAATTATTCTATACATTTTATTCATGCAAGAAGAAATTTTATGTATCTTTATAACTAGAAGAGAGATTAATTTTCTATGTAAAAGTATAAACAAGTGAGAAAGAAGATTTCATAAGAAATTTTATTTTAGAAATTAACTTCAAAAATGGAAATATTATCTTTTCACTGCTCTAACTTACACGTGTTGTTAGATATCCATGTTAATATCTATTGTATGTTCTATTCAACACTCACAATATTTGTGTGCATCATTTTATCCATAACATCCCACACAGCATGTAATATTATAGTAATCTTACAGTAATATTATAAATTTTTTGTAATATTGCATGGTAAAATATCAGTAATATATACCGAATATTGCTGCAATATTAAATGTCCGCGGCAAATTCGTCGCAGAAATATTTCTGCAATATTTTTGTAATATTAGGCAATATTTCTACATATTATGCTAATATTTTGCAATATTGCGATAGTATTTCTGTATTAATATTTCAGTAATATTACATAATATAAATATCGCTACTGTAATAAATGTCCGTAATAAATAAAAAATCTATCGCAGGAATATTTTTGCGATATTTTTGCAATATTGCTGAAACATTATGATATATTACAATAATTAATCCAGTTTTATTAGTTGCTAAAGTATTATTACTTAATATTATACTCTAAAATATGTATGATAGTCATGATAAAAAAACGTTTGGAAGCTTAGAAAGCATTCTTAAAAAAGGTTGGAAATTTTCGGGAGACATGCCAATTCGATTTGCGTATTCCTTCTTATAGGACTGCTGAACATTTTCTTCTTACGAGTCGTGTCCCTCTTGTGGTTGAGCCGCCTATTTACTCCTTTAGCACAAACTGCAATATTGCAGCAATATTTCAATAATATACAATATTACAAAAATTGCAGCGATTTCCTGTACTATCGAAATTAAATGAGTAATTAATTATTTAATTGATTAATTAATTGATTTAATTAATTGAACGATATTGTTATAATATTACAGTATATCACATTGCAACCATTGAATGATATTGCGGTAATATTACAGTGCAATATATCAATTATGATATTCAAGCAATGTTGTAGAAATATTGCAATATGGTAAATCGCACTGCAATATTTAAATGATATTGTAGTAATATCGCATCGCAATATATATATATATATATCACACTATAATATATTTGGACGATATTGTGGTAATACTACACATTGCGATATATCACACTGCAATACTTGAACGATATTACAGCAATACTGCATTGCAATATTTAGACAACATTGTAATAATATTGCAGAATGATATATCACGTTGTAACCTCACAGCAATATTGCTGCAATATTACATGCTATGTGGGATTTAATAAACAACAAAGAAATAATCATTGCGAACGTTATGTAGAACGCATTTATTATAGAAATATAGAGCTATGTTACATAAACTCTTGATTTAAATTTTGATAAGAATTAAGATTGTATAAATTCAGTTCGTTAAAGAGAGTGCTTAAAAAATGAATCGATTTTATTCTCAAATACTTGCTAAAACTAAAACAATCAAATTACAAGTAGGATTATATTTCAATTAAGGAATTCGAGGATTACAGATGATTGCAAAGTTCTTCGGCGAAAACGAGTTTCTGCCGCACGACAGTGTGCTGCATTATCTGTCTAAGTATGGCTGTGAGATGTTTAATATTGAGGAAGAGATCTGCGCCAACATACTATTCCTAATCTGTGGATTCGACAAAGAACAGTTCAACTATGTAAGAATTCCATAAACGTCGTAATCGAAATGCAACTTCGATCAGCGCTTCGAATGTCACGTTTAGTACACGCGATGACGCTTCAAATGAGATATTATACCGTTTCCTAGACGCTGCTACCAGTCATTCTGAATCACGACCCAGCCGGCGCTTCGACCAAAACGATCATACACTTTGGCCAGGAAGTCGTATCGGGCAAATTTCGTAGATACGATTATGGATACGAAAAAAATTTGCTAATTTACAACGCAACGGAACCACCAGACTACGATCTAGCAAATATCACCGTGCCAGTTGCGATATTCTATGCCGATAATGACTGGTTGGTTAACAGTGTGGTAGGTAGCGGGAAAATATATATGTTTAGACCGAAAAGATACATAGAAGATATATATTAAGAATTAATTTGTGTTAATTTTGTCAACATTAAGCTTTAAATAATATATATTGTTAGGACTATACTACTCAAAGAATTACATATTATCTTTACTTTGTCATTATATAAATAACTAAAAATTTTATTTTTTGAATTCAACTAAGATAAAAAAATATTGCATAAAAACACAGAACCAGATAAGAAGTGTAAGATAATGCATGATAACTTAAATATTTTTTTCAAGGATGTGAAGAAACTTTACCGCCTGTTACCCAACATATTAGATATGTATAGAGTGCCGTTTCCTAAATTCAATCACCTGGATTTCATCTGGGGCAAGGACGCGCTTAAACTCGTGTACAAGAGACTGCTTGAAATTATGAAGAAATTTTGAAACTGTTAAAGATTATGAAGAAGATAATGTGCCATAACGATAATAACGATAAGAGATGATTGGGACACTAAATCTTTTCAGTACTGGTAGGCTGCTGGAAAAGTTTCTGCAAATAATATGAAAAAAAAACATGTAAAATTCGATAAAAATAAATCCATTTACCGAATTTTACATGTTTTTTTTCCATATCGTTTGCAGAAAATTTTCCAGCAGCCTATGTATTGTAATCATAAATTAAAAGTAACTCATTTTATAGCATTTTAGATTAGTTTGTGTAGGTATATTAGAATATATGGATCTAAGCGCTATTCTGGTACTTTGATCATTATTTTGACGTAAAACTCGATGGCTGAAGTTTATAATATAACTATATATTTAATATAAGTACGTAAAAATATATTTAAAAAACTGATTATCCATAATGCTATCCATTTATATAATTAATAGTGATATCTTTATTAAATAAAATTACTAACTTTTCAAAACGAAAATATAAATTATTATAAAATGAATTTTTTCTAGTAATCAGTATTATTACTAACAATATAACATTTTTATATTTAATTAATATATGTAATATACATTAAATATAAATTGAAAAAAATTAAGAGTTTATTACAAAAGACTCATACACATTGTTTCTGAATTATAGCAAGATTTATAAAAAAATTATGCAAATATTTTTCATATTGTATAAGTGTTTGAATGACTTTATATTATTAATATATGATTAAATGATGAAAGATGTACTCTCAAAATAATATGTATAATAAAAATGAACTTACTTTTACTATCATTACCTATAACAATAATCTACTTATTAATACTAATTAATATTGATAATATCAATAATGTTAATTTTTCTCAAAAACGTTGATCTTTTTTTATTATTATCATAATCTTCAATGTCATGATCGAATTTTATAAAATTTAATTGCAACAACTTTTCAAAATATAAATGTGAAAATATAAATCTTTAAATAATACTGCATTTCAGCAACAATTTGACAAATCACTTTTATCAAATTTATATTTCGCATGAAATAACTAGCAAATGACTTGTAACACTTGTGTGTGTGTGTGTGTGTGTGTATGTGTGTGTGTACACACATACATATATTTACCTAAAAAACTATGTATATAATAGCATAAACGCGTGTCCTATATTTCTTATATTTCACATGCCTATTTGTCTGTAGAGATTACGCTTACGCTATTGTGCACCTCTTTTGATTACTTCTTATTTACTTGTAGTGCTTGCATAATGTGTTTAGTGGTCTAATAACACTATTCGATAAAATTTGACTGTTTTTTGCATTACGAGTCAAAATAGTTATTTCAGATATATTTTTGACTATTAAATATAAATTCGTTTTTCAACTTAATTATTACGTTATTATTTGGAGAAAAATATCATCAGAAAGGTAAAAAATAATAATTTAGAAGATTTTTATAACGGTGTAATACCGGTAATAATCTTTTTTTGAAACTTCGTTAATTACACGAAAGTACAGCTTTAAGTTTGAAAATGCATTTTATCATTTCATTTTAATATAATATTTTTGTTTTTAAAATATAGTAATTTCAAATAACTCTTTTCCTATAATACATGAAAAATTCATTTTTCATTTTAATATTGTATTTTGTTCCATCTTAATATTATATTATGTAGAAAGTAAATGCTAACATACTTATCATTCATAATATGATCATACTGAATAAAAAAACCAATGTAAAATTTAAATACAGTATAATGCAGAAAGATTATATAATCATGAATCATTAAATTACATATATTGAAAAGAAAACAAAATGCATTTTAAAAGCTAAATGTTGGTACTTTCTCTTAGCATTAACGAAATGTAGAAAAAAATATACTGTCGGTTTGCAATATTATGCAATCTCTCAAAGTTATTGTTTTTAATTTCTTTGACATTTTTTTTTTAAATAGTAACATGATAGCTAAATTCAACAACGGATTCGTATTTAGTAGACATAAACATACTTGCAAAATAGTGTTGGATAATGTAATCTATTGATATAATAATAATAATAATAATAATAATAATAATAATAATAATAATAATATACTACATGAGTCATGTATTTTTTATAGTTTTATCACTGTATGATTAATAACGTAATTAACAAAGCAATATCTTTTTCATCTAATAGAAAATAATTCTTGATGGAATGATTCATCACATTGCAATTTAGTATTTCATAAAGAGAAAATTAAAAAAGAGATCAACTAATCAAAAAGAGACCAAAATTAATAACGTAATTAACAAAGCAATATCTTCTTTTTCATCTAATAGAAAATAATTCTTGATGGAATGATTCATCACATTGCAATTTAGTATTTTATAAAGAGAAGGATCAAAGAAGAGATCAACTAATCATGCTACTCCTCCTCTTTGTTTTCTTCTCTTATCAGTACTATCCTTTGATATTAAAAGACCTGTGCCGTCTGTTTTTGTTCATTGAATCATTCGTTTACGATGCAGTTAATCGTGATCGTGTACCTTTTATCTCTTTGTGGTTTCTTCGACTTTGCAGCGGCTGGAATACTCGATCTTCCACAAAGAGTCTTCAAGATGATGGAAACTAACAAGGAACAGTCAAACAGCACATATACTTTTTCTCAAGACAATCTTAATATGGTAAGTGTACTCATCTAGAAAAAAAGATTGAAATCTTTACTAACTTTTTATTAACTCTGAGATACTTTGTGTTCAATACTATATAGAAAACAATCTTATGCCAATTGTTACGTTCCTGTGTGAGATTAAAATCTAAGCTTTATTACATTCTAATGAAAATTATAATTTTAATTCTCTCATCTTTTTTTTTTGTTTTAAAAGATTTATTAAATTATTCGTTGTTAACTTTGTTTAAGAGTAATTCATGTCAAAACAAGAAAATATTTTTCTTGTTTTGAAATATTCAATGTTATTTAAAATATATTAATTATTTTCAATCATTAAAACCAATTAAATTACAAATTATTTCTGTTAAACTTTATATTGTAGAATATTTTGATATTCAGCAATAGATCTTACGATTACATACAAATTTGAATCAATTTTCGCTTGATTAAGATTATTATCTGTGTATATCATTACTAATCTTTCTTCCGGTCAGGACTGATAGAAATAAATGTTATTTCATGTGCTTTACTGTTTTTAGTTACAGAGGATAAGAAAAGCAGGTTATCCTGCTGAGGCTCACGTGATACAGACGGAGGATGGCTATCTCTTAACACTTTATCGTATCCCAAATAAAAATGGTTCACCCGTGCTGTTGCAACATGGTCTTTTATGTAGTTTTATTGATTTTCTTATTCCCGGCAAGGATAAAGGACTTGGTACGACATTAATTAATCATAAAAAATCTCTCTTTCTCTCTCGCCCCCTCTCACTCTCACTACGAGATCATCGACTACACTTCAATTTGGAAAACATTAAGAAAAATTATAAAGTTTAATAATATATAAAAAATATAGCTTCTAATGTAATTTTTCTAGTAGATTTTATTTTTCTAAAACTTGAACGCATATAATATTAATATAATAATATTAGAATTATGTTATATATACGTATATATATATACAACGTATCTGTATGTATGTATAACATATATTCATTATATATATAATTAATATATATATATATAA